CGCTGTTATCGTTTTGGTTTAAGACACAGTTTGCACTTAGGCAGTACCGTGAATTAGACAGAGCCCAGTCTCTTGCAGGTAGGTAAGAGACTGAGGATTACACCAATGACTTTCCTTACATGTAACTATGTGAAATGCTATGAATGGCTTTGTGCGGTGGGGAAGAGCACCTGGTTTCTGGGGGCAGGTCGTTCTGAGCTCTGCTACGGGTGCTGTGAGCTCTCTGCCCCATGCCTCAGGGGAATGCTTTGCAACAGATGCTCATTATAATTAATGCCTAAATTCCTAATTCCGAGTGCTCAAATTTAGGGCAATTCCCTTCCTTTCGTGGCACTGAATGTTTAAAAGTGCCGTGGGGAAGAAAGGAGAAGTGAGGTAGAAAATGGTTCGTGGTCTTAAAGAATACAACTGTGGGAGTGAGCGAAGGAGAGAAGTGACAGTGGTATGCAGCTGATGTGAAGAGAAGCAAAGTACTTCCCCCTCCTTCCCACCTCCCTAGTTCTGCAGCACTGGATGCACTGGGCAAAGTCATTTGGCGATACGTTTGAGCGTGGAGCATCATCTCTCTTTGGAGCCAGAGGATGATGAATGCCTTCCTGTAGGCCAGGCACGGGCTGCTTGCAATAGCCTGGGTGGGAAACACACCCTTGAGTTTAACTTTCTTCTATCTTAAGATCACGTACAAATAAAATGGTTCCTTCTGTCTAGTGCCAGGCCCAAAGCAGTCTGGTATCATATAGGAAGCACCAGGAGGTAAGATGTGATACCAGTGAGATACCATACTTGAGTGCAGACCCTGTTTCCTGATCCACAAGCATGCTTGTGCTCCCTCTCACAGCAAATACGCTTCTTAGCAAGTTGTGCATCACTTGCGCTTCAGCTAACTAGAATTGATTCAAACTCATCATCTTTAATAGCATAAGGTGCAATTAGTACTGCATATGCAAAATACTTCAAAGGTGTGTGGGGGGGTGTGCCTGCAGATTAAATTCAGGCTTAGAGCACAGGCAAGTTCTTCCTCCTTCCCATTTTGAAGCAGAGATCAGACTTTGGCTTCCTGCCTAAGGTTAAGAGCTGGGGAAAGATGGGTATAGCATGGCATGAAAAGTAAATGGCTTGTAACTTTGTTTTAGAACAGCTCAGCATGATTGTACATGTAACTTGCCCATACGCACACGTCTTCCTCTCTGTGTGAAAGCATTTGGATGCTTTTGCACCGTAAGATCTGCAGGGGTAATGGCTTGTGATGGGGGTGGAAAAAACTGATCTGTGACTCTTCTGAAGCCTCTTGGGAGGCTTGAATTTGGAGGAAGGAGGATAAAGAGGGAATAAATTATATATATGTGTGTGTGTGAGAGAGAGAGAGAGAGAGAAAACACCTCTTAAACACTCTTCAGCTTGTTGATGTCTGTAAGAGTTTGACTCAGTTTTATTCCTCACAATGCCTTTTAGTTCGACAAGCTTTATTTTAAGGCAAGATCAAGTAATTAAAATCTTAGTATCAATATAATCAGCCTATTGACAACGTAAAATCTCAAGGCAAAAGCCTGTTGAGATGAAATGGTCATACCGAAATACTGCGGAGGATTCTTCTCCTTAACACGCTTTGCTTTTTCAAGCAGCTGAGAGATAGGTGGGGACTCCCAGCATCACCTCAAGTGCGTTCATTCTACTCCTCCCACATAAGAAGTAGGGAAGGAGATCTTATTTAAAAACCATTGCAAAGACGTTAACTATTGAATTCACGTTGTGAGAAAGATCATTTAAGAAGGAAAACCGCCGTCTCTGCAATAAGGCGATGTCATGGGGGGTGGGTGATTATCCAAGAGATAATTTTATTCCCAAGTACTGTAAACCTCAGCTGCTTTCCCTGCCAGAGCCAGTGCCTTGGGGTATGAGAGCTTGTTATAATGTAGTCTGTACTGCGCATCCAAGCCAGAAGACTGGAGTACAAGCTACCACTTCAAAACGCATCTTGTTTGTTCACTTCTCAGTGCCGGGAGGTTGCATCATTGCTAGGACAAAACTGAGAGTGTCTTTAGAGGTAGAGAGAAACAAACGACCAAAACACAAGGCACAGAATGAACCTGTAGCATCCAAGTCAGAGTCTTAGCTCGGGGGATGACAACTCCAAATACTGAAGCAGCCTTCTTGATGCTGCAATTCACTCCTGGGTCTCCTGACTTAAAACCTGATTTAACATTTGGCCAGGGACCGACCACTCCTGTTTAAAGGTAAGGGTGTTCTTGGATAAGCTCAAAACCACTTAAACCCTCTTGAATCCTCACACAAATCTGGCATCAGAAATATTTTTAAGTAGATATTTGACAGAGGTTTTATTAACCAGGATTTATAATGTCATCGTTTCTTGATGATGATCTCACATCTAATTGCGTGAAAAGGCAACATTTTGCTGCTGCAACCTGACCTGCTGGTTTGAGCTTGCAAGATCTCCTGTTCTTCACAGTGTGTTGCTGGGGGAATATAGAAATGCAGCCTCCTCTTTCTCTTGGGACTGGAACCCTGCCCAATGGCTGCAGGCAAGCAATGGCTTTGCTCCAGCTAAAGCAGGGATGGGAATCATCGGACAAGCTGAAGCAGCACTCTCATCCTGCTTCCCCTGGCCAGTTTCTTGGAGAAGGGCAAAGTGAAAAGAGTTTTTCCAAATCCAAACACTGAAAAATCACCAAAAAAACCCCAAAAGGATGATCCAGTGTCTGGTTATTTGCAAAACTCTTTCCTGTAGTACTCGTTTTTAGCTGCTGACACAGAGCTGGAAATAGCCTCACCCAGGGCAACAGGAAAGCAATTCTGATACGAATAGTTCCAGCCGTGACCTCTATAGCAATACATGAACCCCATCTCCCAGCTGAGTTCCCTTTATGACAGCTGGACCTGAGTGATAAGTGCAGTGCTTGGTCATTCCACAAGCACTTGGCAGAGTATTTCCGCCGGTTAATGGGCTCCGGGATAACAGTTGAGCTGCTTTCTCCACACCTCCCTCACCAACAAGCAGAGAGTTGTTTTCCAATGTGTGAACTCTAAAAGCACTGGCATTTCTAAAACTCACTGCAAATGGACATTTTCTGAGCAAAGCTCACCCTGTGAAGTTTGTGTGTAAAGCATCCTTTACTACAACTCTTGTAGGCAGTGCTTAATAGATGATAGACAAGGAAAGCGGACAGTAACCTCCATGGTGCTTGCCTCCCTTTTTTTCCTTAATGGGACTAACCAACCTACAGCAGCACCAGGGTCTCGGTGCCATGGGAGCATGGGTGACTGAGGGTCACAAATTTTATCACCAGAAGCAATGCAGCCATCAGTTCTTGTAGAACTTCATTGTTTTCTACTGTTCCTTCAGTCTCGCTTCCTTACAAATTCCTTCTTCAATGACTTAATCTCTCCCATCCTGAAACCCCAACACTGACTGAAAGCTGAGATCACAGTACAAGCATTCATTTTTGAATCACAGAATGCTTTGGGTTGAAAGGGCATTAAGATCATCCAGTTCCAACCCCCTGCCATGCGCAGGGGCACCTTCCACTGGAGCAGCTTGCTCCAAGCCCCTGTGTCCAACCTGGCCTTGAGCACTGCCAGGGATGGGGCAGCCACAGCTCCTCTGGGCACCCTGTGCCAGCGCCTCAGCACCCTCACAGGGAAGAGCTTCTGCCTTAGATCTAACCTGAACTCCCCGTTTCAGTCTGAACCCATCACCCCTTGTCCTGTCGCTGCAGTCCCTGATGAAGAGCTCCTCCCCAGCATCCTTGATGAAGAGCCCCTCCCCAGCATCCTTGTAGCCCCCCCCCCCCTCAGACACTGGAAGCTGCTCTGAAATCTCCAGGCAGCTTCTCTTCTCCAGGCTGAACAGCCCCAATGTTCTCAGCCTGTCCCCATACAGGAGGTGCTCCAGCCCCAGCCCTCCTTTTTTTTCCCCTATGGAAATAACAGTAATAAGGTTTAGATATAACTGGACTGGAAAAAAAAGCCAGAATGTTTTTAGTAAAAGATTGAAGGAAAAGAGACTTTCAGGTTCCTTTATTAATGGTTTTACTTATTTATATGGAAAGTGGTCTCTGCACAGTTCTGAAAGAGATGAGCCTTTACGGAGGCCAGTGAAGCCATGCTTATCCATAGGCTGGGTGACCACGAGTGAACACTTGACATCTGTAGTCAGAGGAGGATCTATCAAATTAGAGGATTTTTTTTTCTTAAGACTTGTGTGAAACTTGCTGTTCAAGGCTGTATTACATAGGAAAGAGAATGAATAAAGAGGTTTGCTGGCCTCTCTCTTCCACTCACACAGCAAAGGAAATGTGCTTGCATTTGTGTACGTAAGTAGCTATGTGCGCGCTCTGAAAATAAGAGGCAGCTGAGTTATGACAGTGACCTGTGATCAAAAATTACAGTTAAACACCCAGTGAGTTCTGAGAGAGGGTTTTAAGGGGATTACCATCTCAAAAAGATGCAGCAAGGCAACTGAACCAGTTGTCTGGTTTGAGAGCTATGAGCTGAACTTAACCCAAAAGTGTACCAGTATGTTTATTGCACTATCCAGCCACTACCTATTCCAGTAGTCTGGAACTTTTCAAGAGTTGCCTGTTTTATTACTCCTGTAGTTACCTTTATTGCAGAGTAAGATAGTTTGACAAACGAAAGTCCAGCACCTGGCATAACTGATGCCACAACACTGGTGCTCTCTGCCGCATACAGTGATGCTAACATTATTCATGATATGCCAGCGGAGAAGTTCCACTGCCACCTGCTTACGTAAAATGAGCTGTGTATGGCAGAAACGGGTTCCCAACATGTTGTTAATAATGAAATGATTTGCTGTTATTCTCCTGAAAACCAGCAGCAGCCCCCCACTAAGGAATGTGGAGCACAGCCCACAAAGCATTTCTCCTGTCCTCCCTCTAATTGTTTAAGCTGGAAGGAAGAAAAAGCTTCACTTTCTCCAACTATCCACACGCTCCTGCAAGACAACAAGTACAAAGCTGAAACCATGTTAAAATATGTCTTTATGTTGGTTTACACTGATTCTAGAGAACGCATAAGGCAACCGATTTTAATACCCTTTTCTCCGGGAAATGTGACCTGAACAACGAAGCCCGCATGATCACCAAATGAAAGCAAGTGCAGATACATGCAGGAGGTCCTTCAGGGAAGTGGCATGAGTCCCATGAGTTGTGGTTCATTTATTTTTGGTTTCTTGGTTGTGAGGCCATGTACAGTGCTACTAGACAGTAGATCGTGCCGCCTATTGTTAGAGCCATAGTGGTCCGATAAAGCAGCCTGTCCGGAACTCCTCGTTTCAGGTGTACTGGCAGCCCGTCTGGTTTCTGTGGGGAGGGGTGAAACAGAGAACAAAAAAGGAAGTGAACACCCATATCAAGACCATAAGGAACAAGCTTAATTGGGGTGAATTAAAAGAATTCCACATGGGAAACCTCCTGACAAATAGGCTATCTGCAATCAAGTGGACTCTGCAGTGTTCATTTAGCAAGACAAACGCAAAGGCAAGTTAATCTATTAGCCAAAGCTGTTAAGTGCAGGCAGAGAGAACTTATCTTGCAGTATGTCTCAAGAGGATCTGGGTGGAAAAAGTGTCACTAAGAAATGAATGTGAAAAAGATACGTATAAAAAGTGATTCACCAAGTTAGCACGACACATTCCAAATGCAAGCAGCGGGTAAGAGAGAAGAGGGAAGGTTATACAAAGCACATGCTTGAACTCTCTTAAGAATTAACTGGTTTTACGAGAAGTCCTAGTACACTTAGAAACTGCTTAACTAACAGACTGGCTTTGAGGACTTCACTGTGCTTTTCTACTGCCTTATAAGCAGCTTCAAAGTATACACACAACAGTAATGATCTGCTCTGCTCCTTCAGATCTGCTTTAAGGCACACGCTTGGATTCCCAGGCAGAAAGCGCTTCCAGTTGTCAAATAACATAGTAAGAATCTTCCAAAGCCAGGGAAAAGGCAGACAATATAACTGGACTTTCCACTTTCTGTACTTATCTCCTCTGTAAGGCATATACTACCTTGTAGTACAGTACAAGTACACAGGTTATACCATACTTGACACTTTCTTAACTAGACTTGACAAAATGCTGCTCTAGTAGAATGACAGAGGTAGTTAGCTACATTAAAATAGGGAAAGATACGTCTCACTCTTGTTTTCTGTAAGTTACTCGAATTTTTTCATTACCTGAAAAAGTTTCTGTAGGTCTGGCACCTTGTTTTTACCCAAGAAAGAATCAGTTGCTGGTATATCTGAAGCAAGTTTAGATGTTGTCAGAGCTGGGGATTCAGTGGAAACTATTGGTTTGAGTCCCTGCATAAATAAAGATTAAAATATCAAGGAATATAACACTTGCAAATGCACCAATTGTCACATTAGGCAGGCACTGCCAGTCATTACAAGGATACATTAGAAAGAGTATTTATCTGGTATGAGGACCTGTGACAATGAGCTAAGGTTGGCACACTGGTTTCTGAGCTACATCTTTGGGTCAGGGCTTAGGATCCTTTCTGATTTCTCAATGTACTCCCCATGAGCAGCTTCACATGGCAGAAGAGAAATCCTCAGTGTAAGAACTGTTGCCTACGAGGGTGCTGGGGAGGGACTCTTCATCAGGGACTGCAGCCATAGGACAAGGGGTGATGGGTTCACACTGAAACAGGGCAAGTTCAGGTTAGATCTAAGGCAGAAGCTCTTCCCTGTGAGGGTGCTGAGGCGCTGGCACAGGGTGCCCAAGGAATTTGTGAATGCTCCATTGTTTGAGGCCAGGCTGGATGGAGCACTGGCTGGCATGGCTTAGTGTGAGGTGTCCCTGCCCATGGCAGGGGGTTGGAACTGGATGACCTTAAGCTCCTTTCCAACCCAAACCGTTCTATGATTCTATGAATTTATTCCAGTCCTTGGACAAGGTACAGCAGATGTGTGCTCGTGCAGAAGAGTCAACATCAGCTGATTTCATCAGCACTGCTGAAGCCCTTGGTGAAATCCAAGCCAACAAACAGAATTACCTGCCTACCCCTCTGTAAAGACTGTTTGTTTCCCTGTCAGAGGCCTGAAGGTTGGCAACATGCACAAGGGTAAAAGGAACTCGTTGCCTTGCTAGTGTGAATTCCCAAGTTAGATTTGCGTTTCTGTGACAGCCCAAACCAGTTCAGGATTTGGAGCAGTTCCATGGCAATACCACCACACTTCAGCTATTGCATGTTAGGGGAATTGCTCAAACAGATCAGAGAATGAGAAAGTAGAAAAAACTGAGGTAAGGACCAAAATGGCAAAGGGGAAACAGGTAAGAAAGTTAAGCTGAGAATTCTTATTTCTGAGCATGCACTGAAGCAGCTTTTATAGGCTCGCTGAACCCAGACACATCTAAATAGTATGTCCTTCATAGCAGAAAATACCTCCCTGTAAGAGGTTAAATATATCTGTTGCCACTAACACAAGGAATTTTTTAGGTAGGATCACTTGAGGCTTTGTATTAGGATGACACAAGTAAGTAAAAGCAATTTTGTGTATGTTTTAAGGACCATCTACAGCATAGGTTAATCATTATAATTTCTCAACTAACTCCAAGCAATTCATAACAGCTAAAGTCACCAGATCGGTGTTCTGTGGGGTTTTTAAACAGCCACAAGCAGAAGAAGTTGCATCAAGTCTAGATATGGTAGTACGACTAAATTTCTACTAGGATCACAGTCAGCCTTGAACTAGGGAGAAGCTCACACAGTCATCCTCACCTGACAGCATCTGAAACTGATCCCACTCTTTGTACCTTAAACACCAGCCAACTATTTGAAGTAATAGCGTTTACTGAATTTGTAGCAGTGATGGCAGTCATTATCCTCCTAAATGTGAGTAGTAGTTTTTAACCTCCTGTTTATTCGAGCAGGCTATGTTGTTCATACTACTGTACATAACTTTTCTAAATGAAAAATTAAGTCTTCTAAGAATGCCAGCACTGAGACGGAAAGAACAGCACAGGTTTCAGACTATGAGATTTCTTTTTGTTAGGATAAGCTGTTACGTTCCTGTCAGCAAAAGCATTTCAGAAATACATTCTGACCGATACTTTGCAAGCCCCCACTAAGCTTAAACCTGCATTAGAACAACACTCCATTGGGAAACATCAGAATGGAACAGCACAGAATTGACTGAATTGTTATACTGCCTGTTCGAGCAAGCAGGATTTGAATTGCAGGGTGTCTTCATCTTTGCAGAAACATCAAGACAAATAAAAGTGTAAACAGCGAGCTGTTTTACATGCTGAGCTATGGTTTTATCAAATACAGCAAAGAAATGGGAAGGAAAAAGAATTTACTTCATTTTGGACTTAGCATCTATTCACTCAAGTGATTTCTTTCTATTTTAGTCCCTATTTATCAGTTTAATCGGAGCGATGCACCTGAATGCGTCACAAAAAGGCAAATTCTACCAAAAGGCTGGCCTCAGAACACTGTAAAAAGGGACTGAAGGTGACTTTTGAAAATGCAGCTATTCTCTGTTCTGTTGCATAGCTTGTTTGCTTGCTACAATAGTTGAGGACTAAGCTGTGTGAATGATGAGCCAGACACAAAAGACAGAGTCTGAAAACCCCACATCTATGAAGCGAGACTTGTGTGAAATTCTCCTGCTTGGAGACAATCTCATCCTCTCTATTATACTCTCTCAAAAACCAGGCTTTCACATTTCAGTGGTGGCACTGAAATGAAAGACAACGCCTGATGATGACCTACAAAGGAATCACAGTGTTCTGGAAGAGAAGTATTTCTGAGCCTTGGCCATTCTCCTTCTTGCTTGCAGAACACAAGTGAGATCTATCCAGACTTTGTTTCTATCTGCAGCGATACTTATCTGCGAAGCTGGTTTTGCATGGACCTTTTACCAACCCAGTTATGATATATGACGCTACAGCATTTTCATCTAGAAGATGTCAAGAACTCGTGATTTATCATGTCTTTCTGTATCTAGTATAATGATATTCATAGCTAATATTCATTAATAGAACAGGATGTGGGATAACAGAGAATTCCCTATTCTCCTCTTATCTTGCTTCTGCCTTTTTAATCCCCCCAAAGCTAAAGATATACTTAAAAGGGGATGATTGTTGTAATGTAATGGAGCCTGCTGAACAGAAAGTTAGGTAACACTCCACGACCTGGGCTCCAGAAGCCAGATGTTTTAGGACAGCTTTACTCCAGGTGGTTTATCAGAGCTTTCTGTATTTTTATGTTGGGGTTTTTCTCTTGGGATCCTACAAGGGATGCATTATTTGCAGACAGATAGTCACGGTGACCTAAAGCCTATGTATAAACACTATGTATTCTTAGTGTTCTAAGCTATACTCTTCCAGAAAGGAGGCACTTTACTGCTTGGGCTTGAAGCCCTTTTGCCCACCTGTGTGATGGTAACCCTAGCCTTTGCTTTCCTCTACACAAATGAAGTGTCGATGTTTATTCTTTGGCTATGACTTTGTGCAGAAGAGATAATAATGCAACAGTGGCAAATGTTTTCTAGCACAGGAGCCTGTTGGATGTGCACTTAATGAACAGATGTACTTTATCCTACTGTCTTCCCTGTGCCCTGCACCTCTATTACTAGGAGGAAGCCTTCCAAAGAGTGATGGGAAAAGAGTAAAATGAAAATCCTTCTTGGGAAAGAAACTGCCACATCAGAAAGTCACTGCTGCCCCACTCTTTACTTCAGATCTTGTGGTAATTCAGGACAGAAGGGTCCTCTGGAGCTCATTAGTCCAAACTGAGCTGAGGGTGCTGAGGCGCTGGCACAGGGTGCCCAGAGAAGCTGTGGCTGCCCCATCCCTGGCAGTGCTCAAGGCCAGGTTGGACACAGGGGCTTGGAGCAAGCTGCTCTAGTGTGAGATGTCTCTGCCCGTGGCAGGGGGTTGGAAAGGGATGATCTTAAGGTTCTCTCCAACCCAAACCAGTCTGTGATTCTCTATGACTGTTGTCTGGAGGCAGTTCTTTGGCAAGCCTGACTTCTTAAAAATCACCCTTCCAAACCTAAACCTCCAGGGTTTGTGTTGTTCTGTTTTGAGGAATTTGGTTTTTGTTTTTTTTTTATTACTAAACTGTAAGAACTTAATTTTTTCAAAGTTTAGTCAAAAACCTGAATGCTGCTTAGCAACTACGCTGCATTAGGCCCATGACATAACCACATTACAGACTTCCTAGGATTACTTAGGATTCACCATTGATGCACGTACAAAGCAAGCATGTTCTGTGGTTTCTTTTCACCGATAGGAAATGCTTTATGTATTTAATGCCTTAATGCTTGATGTAATCAGGATCTACCCTCCCTTCCCTAGGCTCCCCTCACTCTTGCAGAATTAACCATGCGCTTGAAGCACTTAAAGTACAACCGTATGTAATGCCACTTTTAACCCTCTCTTCCCTCAGCTCCCCTCACTCTTGCAGAATTAACCACGCACTTGAAGCTCTTAAAATATAACCTTATATAATGCCACTTTTAACCTTTATGTGCATGGTACCCAGGTCAGCGTCATAAGGAGGAAAGGCTGGTTTTCATTTTGCTTTAAACAAACCTCCCTAGACGCGTGTCCTCCCTACTAAGGCTGTGAATGCTTTCAGGAGTTAGTTTTTGTGCATGCAGGGACAAGGGACGGCGATTTGAGAGCCAGGTTAAGATGCCAGCAGCCACTGCTCCAGCCTGGGGGGCTCCTGCATGGCAGGAGCCTGCTGTAACACCCAACACATCCCAAGAGGCGCCTCGCCTTGCCCAAGGTCACTCGACCGGTGATGAGACACGGAGGGAAGATCCCTCCCCAGCCGTACAAACGGCAGCACGGAACCGCCCGCCGCCGCCACCACCGCTGCCCCTCCACCGGCCGGGCCGGCTCCGGGCGGCGGGGAAGAGGACGGGGAAGGTCACGGCGGCGCGGGCGGGCGGCGCGGCCCGGTTACCTGCGGGTTGTAGGCCTCGGCCGCCGCCGCCCCGACCAGCCGCTGCGTGAAGCCGTGGAACCTGTAGTACATAGCGGGCAGCACCGGCGAGCGGCCCCGGCGGCACACCGGCTGCGACGCCTCGCCACCAAGGACCCCTGGACGTGAAAGGGCCCCGCCGGCTCGCGGCTCCTCGCCGCGAACGCCTGCGAGCGGTGAGCACGGGAAGCCGCCGGTGGAGCGGGGTGGAACAGCAGTGCGGAGAAGGACACGAATCGCTGCTAAAGCGGCGGGAGCGCGACTCTCCGCTCTGCCGCGTTCGAAGGGAGATGAGGCATTTTCCAGTCAGGCAGCAGCTCGGGCAGCCAACGACCCGAGCCGTCGTGCGCTTGCGCAGCGCCGCTCCAGCCGAAGGGCAGCGGGACGCGAGTCGGCCGCTGGTGCTGTGGAGGGGCGGGGTTGGCATCAGCCAATCGGCGCAGCGGGATGGGAGGCTCCGCCCACTGAGGGCGGGGCTTACCGTGGCCGGGGGAGCCGCACGGGTGTGCCGCGGGTGCGCATGCGTGGAGCAGGCGCCGGGTGAGGGCGGGTGCTCCGCGGCTCCCTCAGGCGCGGCCGCCGCCGGGGTGCTCGCAGTCGGCGGCCGCCGGTGTCCGAGTGGGTGCCTGTGGGGGCAGCGGCGGGTTCGGTTTGCGGAGCGTGATCTCGGTGTCCGTATCACGAGGATGGCAGTGCCCCGATGAGGTCTGGAGGCATCTGAAATTGACCGTTTGGTTCATAAAGTGAGGCGGGAAACCAGCGTGGTACGCCAGGGGAAGGCGGTGCGGTGCTGCTGCTGCTGCTGGAAGCCTCATCACGGAATCCCAGCCTGGTTTGGGCTGGAAGGGACCTTAGAGCTCACCCAGATCCAACCCCTGCCGTGGCAGGGACACCTTCCACTAGAGCAGCTTGCTCCAAGCCCCTGCGTCCAACCTGGCCTTGAGCACTGCCAGGGATGGGGCAGCCACAGCTTCTCTGGGCACCCTGTGCCAGCGCCTCAGCACCCTCACAGGGAAGAGCTTCTGCCTTAGATCCAACCTGAACTCGCCCTGTTTCAGTCTGAACCCATCACCCCTTGTCCTGTCACTGCAGTCCCTAATGAAGAGTCTCTCCAGCATCCTTGCAGCCCTCTTCGGACACTGGAAGCTGCTCTGAGGTCTCCACGCAGCTTCTCTTCTCCAGGCTGAACAGCCCCAGTGTTCTCAGCCTGTCTCCATAGGGGAGGTGCTGCAGCCCCTGAGCATCCTCGTGGCCTCCTCTGGGCTTGCTCCATGTCTTTATGCTGGGGACACCAGAACTACATCTCCCGACGCAGAGCAGCAGCCGCAGGGCTGAGGTACCCCTTGGCAGAGTTGTGCCGTGCCCTCAGCTCGAGGGCCTGCGGGTGCCGAGTGGTGCTTTGGATTCTGGGTCATAGGCAGTTGCCAACTGAGATGTTGTTGGTAGCTCAGAGCATCCTGCCCTTGCCAGTCTGGCAGTGCAAGGTCATGGTTTGGGTTCACCCGATTGGTGGTTAAGATTAAACATACCGAGACCTGATTAAGAAAGGATGGTTTGTTGTTAATGTTTAATCGTTAGCGACCTGCACCCGTTAAGAGTGTTGCCTACTGGGAGACCTGCATAGAGTTGTGCAGATATGCTTGCTGTAAAAATATCTGTGGTCATGCACTGAGTGAAAACTATTAAAATACACTTTGCTTATAAACTGGGGGAAGAGCTATTCATAGGAGGTGGCTTAGAAAGTGAAATACCCATTTAAAAATATGTATGATATGGTTTCTTTACCCACCCGTGTAACGCCTTCTACTTATTAGAATTTGAATTTGATGGCAACAAAATGGAGCCTTGAATCTCCTTGGATTCATCCCCTTCTGAACAGATGTGTCCTACATGAGGAAACCCCTGTGAGCTCTGCGTTCTCTTGTGAGAGCAGGGCTATGAACCAGAAGCGCAGGTCCTTGCTGCACCGGTTCTTATCCAGGCCTGTTGCTCTGGAGGCAGGCTTTGTTCTCGGTGGGACTTCAGTTCCACAAGCTGTTCCTGCTGTCCTCTGGTCCAGAGAGCCAGCTGGGTGCTCCGTACGTGACACCCCGAGCTGATGCGCTGCCTTTGTAGGAACATTAACTGGAGAGGATGTGTTATTTGCTCAGTAAGTAGGGAATTTATGGAAATATCTGGTAAATGTTACAGGGAGAATGGTGAAATCCCTTCAGCTTTCAAGATTAGGCAGCATTAATGAACTGGAACATGTGCTGCATAATTTATGGTAGAAAAAAACTTGCTGATTGGGATTCTGTTTATTTCTGAGTAAACTAGAAGTTATGTTTGAGTACAAATATGCCTGTAATAGAGCCGAAGGCCTTGAAGATGGGGCATGCATATTCTTTTAGAGTGGGATGGTGTGAATCATGGCTAGGTTTGAATGGTAACAGTCCTGTCCTGTTGAAATCCATGGGGTCTGGTATGTATTATAACCACTTTGGCGTGTTCCCTGAGTATATCTATCTGCAGATGCACCACAGCTCCTCCTGCCCAGCTATTTCAGCAATTTCAGGAAGAAACAGGTATGCCTGGCAAGCTCACTTACAAACCAGGCTTAGTGTCTTGCTCTTCTACCTTTGTTTTCCAGTATTAGTACGTGCTATAACCCCAGAGGAGCATAGCTTGTGGCAGGTCATGCATGGAGATAACACCGTCGTACAACTAGTTCTGGCTCTATTGATACTCTTAAATCACATTCCTGAAAAGTCATTCAATATTGACTGAAAGGAAAGGTTTGTGCTCTGGAGCTCCATGGCAGCTGTGAAAAACATGCACATTTATTCTCTTTTTTGGTTCATTTAAGTCAAGCTGCTTTAAAGTAAGCTGTGAAACTTTGCTGCTGCAAGCTGCTGAAACAAAACCTAGGTGCTATCTCTCTCTCTCGTTTTAGCTCACAAAATTGAAGATGGGGAATTGTTTACCTTGCAAGAGAGATGCATGGGAGGATGACATGAATCAAACTACAGTTACAAGTGAAGCTTCTGCTGTTGTTCTTGTAACACAGGAGCATGGGGCCGTTCCGTGAAGAGGGAAGTAAAATCAGAATAGCATAAAGGCCTTTCTTTCCTTTAAGGGAAGAGACATGGTTTTGCCATAGGCTTTTGGTCCATCTTTTGCTTTAGTCTCTAGGCTTTTGCTAAGACTGCTTTGTTTATCCAGTTTTCTGACATCATGGGTAATGAGGCTGTAAAACTTCCGGCCATAGGAAACAACTGAGGCAAAATGAGGCCACTCGCCGTAGGAGGGTGGAAAGAAAGACTGGGCGTATTTGTGGACCATAAAACTACATGCGCTTAATCTGACCAAAGTGGCCCAAAAGGAGAAGACTTCCTGCTTTGGACCTGAAGCTGAACTCTGGCTGTTCAGACACTGAGGCATAGGGACTGGTGGTTGTGCATCTGGTCTGTTAGGGATTCCCTAGCTTCATCTGCAGTGAGGTACTGGCAGCAGCCACATGCTATCCTAACAGGCTACCCTCTAGTTTGTTCTGTTCTTCCCAGATTTGTAAGGTAGCTGTTTTCATACATGCGAGTTTGTTTACCATGGCTTGTTCCTGGAATAGCACTAAGACTGTGCTTCCAGATGAGTAGGTTTCTGGAAGTGAATGAAAGGAGCAGAGTACCTTGGGCTTACTCCGCTTTTTTTTGTTGCCGTTGGTGATTTTGGGGTATTTATTTTCCTTTTGAGGACCAAACAAAAATACAAGGACCTTATTCTGTTGCTTAATGAGCAAACCCTTCATCTGCTGATCGTTATTTCAGCACAGATGCCTGTAACTCAAGCTCTGTCAATCTGCCCATGCAGCTCTGTTCTTGAATTGCTCAGAACAACCGTGGGGGTGGATTTAAACCATGAAATTGCCGTGTGTGCTCGTGTTTTGTTTATGCAGTACTCATTTTTAAGAGTACGAGATTGGGTTTTGCTTAATATTTGCTCTGTGTGTCCCTCTGTGTGTGTACACAGAATGTATACAAGCCCCCAAACTAGGAGATGATCACCAAGCCTAAGCTCTGTTAATGCAAGAGACTGTGACATGGTAAACACGTTCCATTTGAATCGTGTTGTCAAATGAAAGGTAAGTCTATGCACAGAGTCAGGTGGGGGTTACTTCTAAAACCTGTGCCTGAATTCACTGGTGCTTTATGACCCAGATGTACTGGACACAACACGGATCACTCTTAGACTGGTATTGTCAACTAAGAGATTTATTTCTCTTTGATAAACTTAATACTGAAAATCAGTAAAAGTAATCTTTACTATTTAGGCTGTTCATACACTTAGAATAGTGAGAGAAATAGAACCAAAGTTTTTACTACGTATCTTTCTCATAACAAAATCCTTGCTTTTTTTTTTCTGAGAGGCAGCCATTTATATCTTCTCGATGGATTTAGAAAGAATTCCTTATTTCACTTCATTGTCTTCACGTAAGGCTTCTGTATGTGAAATACTTGGTAACAATAGTGACTTAATAGCGGTTTTGGCAATAAGGGCGTTGTATTGTACTGTAGCATGATGCCCACAGTAGGCACAGCCTGGTAAATTGTGGAAGGTGAGATGTGAGGATGGACTTTCTAGATCCTGACGCCTGCCTAGAATCCCATTCACAGCTACTGCCTTCCAGGCCTGTGATAAAGCCATCCAGAGCTGGTTGAACTAGTAACCATACTCCGTGCGGCAGAAGGTCCAGCTTTACCCACATTGTGGCCAGGCGGAAAGGCTTTACTCAAGGGGATTTCTGTTTGACTGACTTTAAAAAGGCAAAAAAAAAAAAAAATATAAAAAGGACATACTTAAATTTAGTGATACAAGGGTCAACTGCCAGCTTCCTCGAGAAATCTTCCTCATAGAAAACACTCTTCCTTTATGAATCATTTAGCACATCAGAGGTAACATAATCAAAATACATTGCTGCCACGAGAGCAGTGTCTCCTTGCATTGAAAATAATGCACAGTTTTGACTACATTTATTTTTCAGGCTTATATTCTGCCAGCAGCAAGAGTCATTTCCCTGTGATGCCTTTACAACTGACAGTATCCCAATTATCTTTCCAGCAGC